AACACACACGCACGCACGCACACGCACACGCACGTATATATATTTGTAATAATAAAAAAAAAATTAAAAAGTTCAAAACAATAAAAAAAAAATTTTTTTTTTAATTTGTTAATTAAAAAAAAAAAAATTTTCCGCAGAATAAAAATTAAAACGTTTTTTTTTTTTTTTTCTTGGGAGGCAATAAAAAAAAAAAAATTTCAACAAACCCGCGCGCGCGGTAAGTGTCGAAGGGGGTAAAAAATTTAAAAAAAAAAGAAAGAAACCCCATTAAAAAAGTATGAAAAGAAAAAAAAAAATAACATTATGGGGCAACCTGGAGCTAATACGAAGGCAGACTTTAACGTCCCACAGGGCATATTACACAGAGGGGAAGAGGAAAGTCGTAGGGGGAGTAGGTAGGCGGTGCAGGAGAATAAAAAAAAAGGAGCACGAGAAGAGAAAGAGAGAAAGAAGGAAGAAGAAAAAAAGGAAGAAAGAAAGAAAAAAAATATATATATATAAAAGGAAACACGAGGAGGGACAAGGCGGAAAATAAAACGGATATGAAAATATCTCGGATCCAACAACGATTTAAGAAGGTGAAACTCCTATTAATGAAGAACGGCAAAGAAGATGTAAAAGGTTAATCTAAGGATATTAATCTGAAACGGAAGAGTAGCGGGGGTAGAATAAAAAAAAAAAAGGGTAAGACGAGGAAAGTGGTAGGAAGAGAAGAAAAAGGAAGAAGGAAGGAGGGAGGGAGGTGGATGGATGCAGCACGACTGGGAATAAAATAAATATTTAAACGAACCTCCAAAACTTTTTTTTTTTTTTTTTTTTTTTATTTCAGAGGGATGAACTTTTTTTTTTTTCTTATGCTTCTTCTTCTTCTTCTTCCCCTTAATTTCCCCCTTCGTTATAAGGATAATATTAGCATACGTAAAATTTCTTTCTTCTTTCTCCTTCTTTCTTCCCCTTTCTCCCAATTTCTTTTCGGGATTATTTTTTTTTTTTGTTTTGGATTTTATAAGGAAAAGAGAGAGAGAGAGAGATTGCCCCGAAGAAAGGAGAAAAAGATTTTAAATTGCCTTTGAAAACCTTTTTTTCCTTTGTTTCCTTTGTTTTATATTTTTTAATATTTAAGAATAAAAAGATATTTGAAAGATATTAAAAAAAAAAAAAAAAACTTTTACATGAACGATACGAATTATTATTATTATTATTATTATTATTATTATTATTAGCTTTATATTAATTCACAATATGTACATATTGAATGCATTCGCAATTCGTTGAATGATTGATTGAATGAATGAATGAATGAATGATTGATTTGCATATCGAGAAAAAATTTTTTTTTCCTTTTCTTTTCTTTTTTTTTCTGTTATTTTTTTTTCACTTGAAATTTCCCTCGAGGCTAATTATAAATTAATTAACAAACAGATTCTTTTTCTTTCTTTTTTCTCTCTTTTTTTAATTCTATTTAATTAACTTTCTTTTTCTTTTCTTCCTCAAAAAAAAAAAAAAAGAAAAACTTTCCAAGGATTCCTTTTTTTTCCATCCTCTTCTTCTTCTTCTTCTTCTATTTTCATTTATCCAGTTAATCCAAAAAAATAATTTTTTTTCCATACAATTCATCTATTGTTGTCTGAGTTTAAAAAAAAAAATTTATTATGGGTAGTACATGTGTAAACATAATATTTGTTACATGTGTGTGTGTGTGTGCGTGTGTGTGAGCGTTTTTATTAAATGTGTAAACATTCGTTAAAATTTTTTTTTTTTTTTTGGTTTTATCATTAAATGAATCCCCATTTTCACCTTTTATTAAATTCCTTTTTCAACATATCCCCATTTCAAAATATATTAATTATAATAATAATAATAATAATAAATAGAAAGCATTTAAGTTGAATTTTTATAATATTATCCATTATTATTATTATTATTACATTTTCAATTTTATGTACCGTGAAAAAGAGAGAAAAGAATAAAAAAAAGAAAAAATCAGGGAATTTTTTTTCTTATCTAAAAGTTTTTTTTTTTTTCTCCAAAATCTGTTTACATAAATATATATATGAGCAACTCATGCTTTTTTTTTTGAAATGCTGGAAATAAAAGGGTGAATGAAAAATAATAATAATAATAATAATAATAATAATAATAAAAGTGATACAAACATGATACAGTAAGTTGTGTTCTGTATTGATTATTGTTATACGATCTTCTTACAAACAACACGAAACAAGTGAAATCGAATAAGATAAATATGTTGAAAGAATCACAGAGTTGATCTTTCGGGTAATTCCGTTAACAAATCCATCATGTTTTGTAGAGGGAGGGGGGACGGAGGAACGGAATGAAAAATAAAAAAATGAAAGAGTGAGAGAGAATGAAGGGGGAAGAGGAAAAGAAGGGGAAGGATAAAAAGAAGAAAAGAAGAAGAATAAGAAGGTAAACGGAAGGGGAGAGAGGAGGAGGAGGGGAGGGAATCGGTTTAAATAGAAAATCAGGGAGGTTGAGGTTGAAAAGAACGCCGATCGGCCTTTAAGCCCAAAGTGTTTTTTTTTTTTTTTCAGCAGAGGGTTGCTGCCCTCGAGTGTGAGGGTTGTTTTCATTTCTACCAACATTTGAAAATTTTTCATTCAAACGTGTTTACATATATTTATTATTTAAAAAAAAAAAAATGATACCCATGATTATTATTATTAATATTTATACATAATAATTTATATATTCAAATGTTTCTCATTAAAATCATGTCTTTGTCTTTTTTTTTTTTTCATTTTAGGGTTGAAAAAATATTGTAATAAATAATAATAATAATAACTTAATGACTCGTTTGTAATAATAACAATACATCGATTTAAAATTATTTATTAAAAAAAAAAAAAAAAATGGAAAAAATTTCAAAAAAAAAAAAAAAAATTCGATTATTATTATTATTATTATTATTATTTGAAGAATAATTTTCTTTTGTTTACCCATATAATGAGTGTAATCTCTTGAACTAACAATCTCATATTCGGTTAATCCCACGTCGCCACACGTGTGATTCCACATCCAAACGAATTGAAAAACCTTTTTTTTCTTTTTTTTTTTCTCTTCTTACTCATCGGATGATTGCTTATTCTCTCTCTTTCTCTCTCTCTCTCTCTTTCATAATACATCCACTAATATCTATTTCCTCCCCCTTTTTTTTTTAAATTTTCACGGCAAAATGAATCTTTATTCGTTTAGTTTTAGTTTTTTTTTTTTTTTCGCCTTCAAACGATTTTTTTTTGCTTGTCATTCTATTTCGTTTAATTTCTTAAAATAATTAAAAATTTCATTTTTTTTTTGTTTTTGTTTTCTTTTATGCTGTTGTTGTTGTTTTAACATTCCCCCTATGTTAAACTTTACATTTCTTTTCTTTCTTTATTTCCGACACTTTTCATTTTTATCAAAAACATTTCTTAAGTTAATAACAGTTCTAGGATATTGTCCAAACACGAAATGTTGAGGGGGGAAAAAAAACATCGATAGGCCTTGTCAAATTGTTTACTTTTGATATGAATGATTTGACGAGTCCATTTAGTTTTCCTTGCTATCTCATGACTTGAAAAATGACTTTTCTTTTTTCTTTTTTCCAAAGAATACAAACCAAATGAAAATAAAAACCGAACGAATGGCAATCGATAATATATGTCAATCGTGTTAAATGACAACCTAACTCAATTTTCATTTTAATAAAGTTTTTCTCGCTTTTTTTAAATAAATAAATAAATATTTTTATGAATACATATATGTAAAACGAGAAAATGCGTGAATAGAAAAAAAAAAATTTTTTTAACTTTGAAAAATAATAAAATACAAATACAATGTGTTGATTTTATTATTTTTTTCTTCATACAACTTGTATAATAATACATATAAATATTATTATTATTATTATTATTATTATTATTATTATTATTATTATTATTATTATTACCTTGTAAATTTATGAAAATAATAATAATAAAAAAAAAACAAGATTGGGTGTGACGCGATCGCTCTTCATTCAAACAACCAATTTTTATTTTGTTACCTTTTACGTCATCATTCTAACTCACCGAAATCCACATTAATTATTTATTTATTTATTTATTTTTTATTTAAATAAAAAAAAAAAAAGAAAAAAAATGAAAGTAATTTTTTTTTTTTTTTTTTAATTGTAAAGTACTCAGGTGTCTTGGAAATGCTTTTCTCGGAGCCCATTTAAGGTTTTTCTTTCCTTTCTTTTTTTTTTTTTTTTTTTTTTTGTTATTCTTGAATCCGTTGTTTGTGTTTCCCTTTCCAAGATTTTCATCTTTTGTTCATCCTTCTTTTTTCTTTTTTCTCTCTCTCTCTCTCTCTTTCTCTCTCCCTTTCGGTCTTTTTTAATTTGAAAATTAAATCGTAAGCTTTTAAATTGTTTAAAATTTAATTAGTGTTTATGAAATATTAGATTCTGGATTTCATTGATTTACGTTGGGTGGTAGAATGAAGACGGTGGGATTCGAGTAAGAGTTTGAGGATTTGTTTTGCAAAAAAGGGGAGGCAGAGGTGAATTCAAAAAAGGGTTAACAATATAAAGATATCTTCTTTCTTATTTATAGTTTTTTAAAATATTTATTATTTTTTATACAGTTTGTTTTTTTCAAAATGAAACCTTTAATTCTTTTAAAAAAAATTTATTATTATATTTATACATTTTTTTGCGTTATTGTTTTTTTTTTATTATTATTAATGTTTTTATTAAAAACAAAAAATTTTTGTTTGTTTATGTGAATCGTTATGCGATCGTAAATGTTGTTGTTTAACCCGTTTAAAATATTTTAAAAAATTCCTCAGGTGACGATCATGTTCTTCTAAAATATCTTTTTGTATCGGTGGTGCGTCTTTTCATTCTAACACTTTTTATTATTGTTGTTTTTTTTTTTTTGGTTTTTTTTTTGGTGGTTCCTTTGATATTACTAACATTAATTTGTCTCTAACCGCAGTAACTCTCTACTATTTTACAGCTCTAGGCCCGGAAGGCCTCCAAAACGTGCACCCGTGGGTCTTTCCTTGGCTGCATCTCAACTTGCGGGTCATCCGGCATTAAAAAAGAGAATGGAAAATGGCGATTATGCCGGTTACGAAAATGGAAGCATCAGCGGTGAGTTTTTTTTTTTTTATATATAAATAAATAAATTATAGTTTATAAAAAACGTCAAAGATAAAAAAAAAAAAAAATTATACTCATGATACGTAATATTTTTTTTTTTGAGATAAAAGAGATGAAATAGAAAAAGTGAAATGGGGGGAAAATTTTTAGAAATCGATCATTAAAATGGGTCATGAGGGTAAAAATTGATCGAAAATGATCGGGAGGGTGAAAACGTTTTTTTCTTTTTTTTCTTTTTGACTTTTCGAACAAATGTAAAAATTATTATTTCATTTTGACGTTGATAAAAGTACATAAGTAATAATTTTTTTTTTTTTTGATAAATTTGTTAACGGATAAACTTGACCAATGATAAAAACAGGTGCAAACACTTTTCTAAAAAAAAAAAAAAGTTTTAATAACACGACCGTTTATTCAATAATATAATATCAATCCAGAAGCGATACCTGAAAGCAATCATGTTTAAGAAAAGGGTTAAAGTATAAAATAGACATACACCTGTGAGTAGAATTGGAAACAAAAAAACAAAACCAAACCAAACCTAATTATTTAAGTGTCTTTACTAGCCTCGAGGCTCCCTTTTGCTACCCAAAAGGTTAACCTTTGTGGT